CAGTGTTTATTATGTTAGAAGTTACAACAGTGTTTATTATGTTATTAGTGGTTACAAGAGTGTTTATTAGGTTATTAGTGGTTACAACAATGTTTATTATGTTAGAAGTTACAACAGTGTTTATTAGGTTATTATTGGTTACAACAGTGTTTATTATGTTAGAAGTTACAACAGTGTTTATTATGTTAGAAGTTACAACAGTGTTTATTAGGTTATTATTGGTTACAGCAGTGTTTATTAGGTTATTAGTGGTTACAACAGTGTTTATTATGTTAGAAGTTACAACAGTGTTTATTAGGTTATTATTGGTTACAACAGTGTTTATTACGTTATTATTTGGTTATAACAGTGTTTATTATGTTAGAAGTTACAACAGTGTTTATTAAGTTATTTGTTATACAACAGTGTTTATTATGTTAGAAGTTACAACAATGTTTATTAAGTTATTAGAAGTTACAACAGTGTTAATTAACTTATCTGTAGTTACAACAGTGTTTGTTAAGTTATCTGTAGTTACAACGGTGTTAATTAACTTATTTGTAGTTACAACAGTGTTTGTTAGGTTATTAGTGGTTACAACAGTGTTTGTTAGGTTATTAGTGGTTACAACAGTGTTTATTAGGTTATTAGTGGTTACAACAGTGTTTATTAGGTTATTAGTGGTTACAACAGTGTTTATTAGGTTATTAGTGGTTACAACAGTGTTTATTAGGTTATTAGTGGTTACAACAGTGTTTATTAGGTTATTAGTGGTTACAACAGTGTTTATTAGGTTATTAGTGGTTACAACAATGTTTATTAGGTTATTAGTGGTTACAACAGTGTTTATTAGGTTATTAGTGGTTACAACAGTGTTTATTAGGTTATTAGTGGTTACAACAGTGTTTATTAGGTTATTAGTGGTTACAACAGTGTTTATTAGGTTATTAGTGGTTACAACAGTGTTTATTAGGTTATTAGTGGTTACAACAGTGTTTATTAGGTTATTAGTGGTTACAACAGTGTTTATTAGGTTATTAGTGGTTACAACAGTGTTTATTACGTTATTAGTGGTTACAACAGTGTTTATTAGGTTATTAGTGGTTACAACAGTGTTTATTAGGTTATTAGTGGTTACAACAGTGTTTATTAGGTTATTAGTGGTTACAACAGTGTTTATTAGGTTATTAGTGGTTACAACAGTGTTTATTAGGTTATTAGTGGTTACAACAGTGTTTATTAGGTTATTAGTGGTTACAACAATGTTTATTAGGTTATTAGTGGTTACAACAGTGTTTATTAGGTTATTAGTGGTTACAACAGTGTTTATTAGGTTATTAGTGGTTACAACAGTGTTTATTAGGTTATTAGTGGTTACAACAGTGTTTATTAGGTTATTAGTGGTTACAACAATGTTTATTAGGTTATTAGTGGTTACAACAGTGTTTATTAGGTTATTAGTGGTTACAACAGTGTTTATTAGGTTATTAGTGGTTACAACAGTGTTTATTAGGTTATTAGTGGTTACAACAGTGTTTGTTAGGTTATTAGTGGTTACAACAGTGTTAATTAACTTATCTGTAGTTACAACAGTGTTTGTTAAGTTATTTGTAGTTACAACAGTGTTTGTTAAGTTATTTGTAGTTACAACAGTGTTTGTTAAGTTATTTGTAGTTACAACAGTGTTTGTTAAGTTATTTGTAGTTACAACAGTGTTTGTTAAGTTATTTGTAGTTACAACAGTGTTTGTTAAGTTATTTGTAGTTACAACAGTGTTTGTTAAGTTATTTGTAGTTACAACAGTGTTTATTAAGTTATTTGTAGTTACAACAGTGTTTGTTAGGTTATTAGTGGTTACAACAGTGTTTGTTAGGTTATTAGTGGTAGTTACAACAGTGTTTATTAATTTATTAGTAGCTACAGTGGTAGTTTACTGGTGGTTACAACAGTGTCTTTACATGCTAATCTAGTTCTGACTGTGTTGCTAATCATAAAGATAGCAATATCTTTATTAAGATTCAGTGAATCAGTGAATTGTGGTAATTTTGTGAAGAAGAATAGAAAGTTAAAGTTCGATTATTTATGTATATATTGTACCTATGAATTTAAAACCCCTATGTACGCATCATTTTGCAAATTAACGAGATTAAGAAACGTCTTCTTAATAATAAGCATATATAACAATAATACAAGCTAAAGCTAAGAAATCCATCGTGTGTAATATTCACATTAATCTTCAGCTAAATGAAATCAATGGGACAAGAGAAGTAGTTCGAAACGAGATTTTCCTCAGTTAAGCGACCTAATGGATTTCCGACTGGCTCATAAAGGATTTTTGGTGGAACTTGAGAAAATTTTAAAATTGAAACGGTAAACACGCAGCGGACGGTGCAGGAGGATGGGAGAAACACGATGGTTACAGCTTACCTTGATTCTTCGATTAGGGTGAACCAACAAAACAACAAATGGCCCAAGTGCCTTACTTATCACCCGAGTTCTATAAATGTTGTTGTTCTTGTAATATACAGCAGAGCAATCATTTTGTAAACAAACTATTGTTGTAGGTAAAAAGTTATAATTGACTTCAAATTTTAAGGGTTCTAACAAAGAATTAATTAAAGGAAATTATGCTCAACAAGAGGCAAATGGTAAATCTCTGTACTGCCATTTTCCCTAGTGGTTGTAGAGACTTGTACCCTGTATTTATAACCGATTCTCTGAGCGTACCATGATCATTACATAAGCGCAGAAGGTCGTAGTGAAAGCTGTATTGACGTAGAACGAATGTAGGGAGGTGATAGTGGGGACTACATTGGCATAGCAAGAGCGAAGGGACAACGCAGTGAGCACGAAGTACAATCCTTTCCGTGTGAACTTCGCTTCTACTGCGTCTTTGAAGTCCCTTTCAGTTTTCCGTTACGTCATTACAGCGTCAGCAACGTCGTTACTACGTTCTTATTAGGTTCTCACTGTGTACTGATTTGACCACGTCATTTGGAAAGAAAATGGTTCGATACATTTAAAGCACAATAAATATTTTGGTTATTGCGAAAACGTCGCTTAAAAACTGTGACCCTGGGCAATTTGAATATCTATAACTCGTTTGAAGTTTTTAACACATTTCTTTCCTCTGACCTTGAAAGTATGTCAAGGCCATTCATTTGAACAACCTCTGTAGCCCTTCATCCCAGAATGTTGCAAAAACTAATATCAGTAGCCTGGAAATTTTGGTTTTTGATATGTTTTAAGACTTTAACTTATTTGACCCCTGTGACCTTTATCCTAGTATGCTACATACCTAATAACGACATTTTGAGTCTTTTGGTTATGTAAAGATGTCGTTGAAAGATTTAATCCCGTTTGATCCATGAGACCTTGAATGTAGCTCTAGCTCATTCGTAGCCCTTCACCCAGCGTGCTACAGGCCTAATGTCAGTACACCAGGTTTTTTTGGTTATTGAGAAGTTGTTTGAATGAAAAAGTATGTAGTAATTGGTCATCCTGACCATTCAGATCACATGACCTAAGAATGTGTAACTAATAGTTAACTGTAAGCTCTCCTGAGTGGGGAAAAGCAAGACCATGAGGCTATAAAATTCAGTTTAGTTAAACGCCTCAGATTCTTCTATCCAATCGAAGGGCATTTGATGCTACCGTACCAACAAGTGTTGATGACAAGATATTTTTAAATGTTAGACAATTTTACCCCTTTCTTGCCCAATCCATCTGCCTCCGGAGGTCAGCAAGGGTCAGTCAATATGTGCACATCATCAAACAATTCTCCAAAGGAAAAACAAACCAAATTATAATCAAAACGTGTAATTTTTCTATACATAGTAAACTTTATCCTCTCCCTAGGGGAAAATGTGAGACCCTGCGGTCATGAAATTCACAATTTTGGTAAAGCATCTCAAAATTCTTCAATCTATTAAGGGCATTTAATTTGACCATATATTGGTGTTGAAATGACTTTGAAATTCAAGTCAACTTGACACCTTTTGGCCCTACCCATCAGCCTTTAGGGTCAGTCAAGGTCATATGTGCACAACATCCAATTCTATTTTGGTTTGAATTCTTTCCAATGGAAAAATAACATATTACGGCCAAAAATGTAATTTTTCTTTATAAACTGTACAAGTGTAGTAAATTGTACTCCCTCCCAAGAGGAAATGAGACCCTGGGGTCATGAAATTCACAATCCAAAAAGAATTGGTTCTTCAATATTTGGTGTGAGAAGATTTTTAATAATTTAGTCAATTTCACTTGTTTTGGTCCCATCCATCCGCTCTTTCTATCCCTGGATCCTGAAACTTCCTTCCAATCCTTCTCCTTGTCAACACATCTATGGCAGTTGTAATTGACCAGGGAAGTTTTCTTGACAGGTCTATAACACCTCAAATTTCCTTCATTAATCATATCTAAGGTCTCGTTAGTTGTATTATCATACTTTAGTTAGACCACCTTGGCCAATGCCACCGTAGAATCATTAATCTTGGTGGGAGATTTATTTTCGTTGCATTGTTGGTTGCTATAAATTTATTAATTTCCTGGAAATGATAACCAGATAAAAAATTGACATAAGCACAAGCAGATTTACTAATATGTATCCCTGAAATTAAGTGCAAACCAAAATGTACATTATTGTAAAACCACAAAGTTTTAACCCCACAAAATTATAGTTTTACAATTTACCCAAAGAACAGACTACTTCCCCTCAGGGGATCTTCATAAACACCTTCAACAAGTCTTTGTAATGGTTCCTTCTCAACATGTCACCAAGCTCACACAAAATTCTACATTTATGTGTGACCTGGATCTTTCCCCCCCCCCACTACAACCTAAATTGAAAGAGTTCTTACCCAGTCTTGGGCATCATACTCAGATTCTGATATGAAAACCAGACCGCCAGATATCAGGCATAATGACTACACTCGAATGTATCAACTCATTGATATGGTTAAGTGATGAAATTTAAGAATTAGTTTCTATCAAATCTACCAAAATAAAATACAAACTCGATATATATTTCCCTTTTGACTTTATTACATAAGTTAACGAAGTGTACAATTACATTCGTGGTCCACCAGCGCCGCCCGGTCGGAATCCTCCTTGGGCTGTGATTGGTTGTGTTACTTGAAGGCCGGGGATGTTTCCAAAGTCCTGAAATGGTTAATGATAAATCTTATCAGTAAATTATTTCATCGTAAATAATTTTTCAGAAGACATATGTTGCCATGCTGTAGTATCTTTTGTAAAGGCCATTTCCCCGTGTTTAAAATGGATTAAACTTTCAATATGGTACTAGTATTGGAATTTACATGGACTTACCAATGACTTCAACATGTCCTTTGTATCGGGATCCACTTCAATTACATCATGTTGTTCCAAAAGGGAAACCTGAAAAGTGAAAAATAGTCAGTTATTTCAGAACATATAATAGGGAATAGATGCATCTTAACTCTATTATTGGTGCAGATCATCATGTAAACAATGATAATGCTATGTTGCCGAGACTTAGAATGATAGTGAAATGCTTCTAGAGCTGTTGATCAAAGTCTTCTCTTTGAATTATACCAAGTAAAATAACAGTGACCAAGAAAAAATCTTGGCTTTTTAAAAGTACACAGGTGGCAACTCCAAAAGACTTTGAATCTTTCTCTTTTCAGGTATATAGTTCTGTGAAAACCGTATTTCCATTGCTTTGCCAATCTAACAAATATGCTGGTTTAAACTGCCAAAATTTCTGGTACTAGAATGTGGTGCCATGGTTTCCAGATTAAGATTGATATAAAACTTTCTGAGCACTACTGCAAGTACAAACTGTATCTTTTATAAATCAAACTACAGAAAAATCAGGTTAACTTGCACAACATTTACTGTACAAGAAAATTTACTTACCAAAATGGTGGAGTCTTAAATCTTTCATCATGAAGTCAAGTAAATAGATTATGTTAGAGCCCCTATTAGTCTGTTTCAATGTGCCCTTATAGATTCCATGTACATACCTCTGGGACGTAGTTGTCCCTCCTCTCCCTCTCTTCCTCCTGGAGTTTGATGGAGATACCTCTGACTGGACCAGCCTGGATACGCTTCATCAAATGGGTGACGAACCTACAATGTCGTTAAAAGGAATAAATTGTCAAGCATTCAAATGCAATCAATGTACATAATTTTTTTTAAAAAAACATCTAACCGATTCTATCTCCCGGAAAATCAGGTGACTTTTGGCAATTTCAGAAGTCAAACATGTGAAATAGACGTGTATCTTCAATCTAAAGAGTAAAAACTCTTGTTGGGAGTCAAAAACATAATCTGAAGTGCATACTGAATGCCCTGCAATTGCTTTATTTATTATTTATTTGATCTTATTCTATACATGTTATAGGAACCATAATGTAATTTCCTTCAACAATAAATTCCCAATTTAATTATTTCCCTTTTCTGACATCAATTTACATAGGTCTTGGAACTGCAGAGACCGTGTTATCACAAATAATGTCAGACTTCACCATGGTAGTTAGTAGACTTAATGATGTCTTACAGAACTTGTTGAATTTGGGTTATATACAAAGTATCTTGTAAATGTGGACTTCAATTACAAACTCTATGGAAATCAGAAAATGATATCCACAGCAGTCTTTTTTGAATGGACAATACTATGTAAAATCTTATAGTTACCCAGCTACTTTGTTCCTGAGCTTCTTGCTAGGCAAAATAGCAATTTCCTCGCATACCCTCTTGTTTGTGTGGAAGTCAAGGGTCAACTTCGTGTAGTATTTCTCAATAATGACTCGGGCAGCCTTCTTGACCGTCTTTGTCCTGACACGAGCCTGCACAAAAAAAGATAAATAAACAAATTACATCCAATACAAATGCAAGTCAAAATGTCTTATGTCCTGGTATGGGTTGGGACTACACGTTTCCTAGTCTAACTTAAAGTGTTTTGCTATATTTAGCCAAAATATTAAATTGTAACTTCATATTATACAATAAAAGATGAAAAAAACGTAAACACCATAGTTAATTTTGTTTCCCAGTTATTGGGATTTATTTGAAATGCACACCTTTGATTCTGCATTGACCCACTCAATAGGGGTAACCCACAAATGTGATATCACAAGTTCAACGCTGTCAATGCAGCCCTACAGAAATATACCTTTAAGCTTCCACTGTATGTTTGATTGTTGGCATTTTGGTTAATTGTGCAATATTCTCACTCACTTCTGTAGGTGATAATTAAAGTGCTACCTTCATGTGAAAATGACTCATTACTAAAATTTCAATTATGAAACTGTTACATTGTAGACAAATGATGCACTGAATGAGGGTGTCTGAACAACACATGATTGCTATCTAAAATAATCTGTGTTGTCATAATTAATGAATCTAGTGACTGTAAATATTACACCTTCTTATTATCCAATTGGCCTCTAGAAATTATAAGGAACCCTTAAATTTGACATCAACCGAAAACTGATTAAAATTTCAGTCAAATAGATGAAAGCGCACCCCACCCCGCTATTTACGAATGGAAATGTACTAATTTGAACAAATACACAGTACAGTTATAAGATCAGGAAGCAGTCAGTGGGATAATTCAATGTGACAATTATTCAAATCATTTCTCTTGTATAAAGTCAACCGACTGGCATACTCGCAAAAGACGAGGGTTCTCGTGTTAGGGTACAAACCTCGATTCTTTTACTACTTTTCTGAAAAAAAAAAACTTCGTTGTTTGCGAGTATGGTTCAGTTGAACTTCTAATGAAAAAATAATATGAATACTTGTCAATCACACTGAATTAGCCCACTGTGGAAGCAATGTGAATATGTATATGTACTATTTATGATTGGGTTGTTTAGAATAGTTGCATTGATTAGATGTAACGATCATGTTGTTACTGTTATGCTTCATGCAATCCGGTGATATTAGGAATTTAATATGTGCTAAATGTTCCATTGACTGATTATGGCATTCACACACAGAACGCTTCAAAATTATTGTAAATATTTTCCATACAAGATGACACAGATAGTGTACACTGTCCCAACATAAGAAACGGCGAAATCAAACGTCAACATAACCATGTGAACACCTTTCGTACATTCGTGTCATCTGAATTATTTTCAAACCCACAAAGTTGAAAGAAGTAAGTAAAATATTGCTTATATTCCTATCTATCAACTGGGATAGGCAATGTAGACGAAAGACACCCGATTTCAATGATTTTACAGGATATAAATTTGTTTATTATATGGTGGATATCTCACCATTTTGGAGGTACCGGAAAAGGAAGTCCAACAGACTTTTCGGAACAATTAGCCTTATTTTTCGGAATGCCTCTAGACTTATGCATTAGAAACTTAGGTGGCTGAAAATGAAAGTGGAAGACATGTACCCTAGTGATGTATGGATTTAAGAAATTTGACCTCCATTTTCAAGTAAGACACTTTGCAAGGTGTTTATTTCAAAACATATGCACTATATACACATGCAAACAAGCTGCACGTCAAGGTTATGGGCAGTGATTGGGAAATGCCATGGGATCGAAGGAGTGTACTAAAAGCTGTCTGTTTGATATCTCTTGAACAAAAAATTTGATATTTGCATTTATACATGTACATACACAAACATACTATTTCTAATATACAAAAGACACTGCTCAAAATTGAGCTCAAATTGATCAACAAGCTGCACATTTTGAACTGCCTGATATGGCTTCACTGAATCGGTCTTTTTTTATTTGTTTTTATATTTTTCAAGATTCTGAAACATACATATAAACAAGATTCACAATCTGACAAACCCACATGTACAGATGTGTCTTCCGTATCATGGTCGTTCTCCTCCTCCTCAACAACGTCATCATCATCTTATCATTATTTTGATACCAATGTATCAACATCAATCATCTGATCATAAGATGGTGAACAGGTGTCACAGTGGTAATGCACTTATCTTTCACTTAGCCATCCAGGTTTTTATTTTCAGAACGAATGTGGGCTTTCCTCAGATTATCTTGATCTAGTTTCCTTATGCACTTATACCAAGACTGATCATTGTAAGTTGAAATAAATGAAGTTTACATACGTACAACATGAAGGCAGAAAGCCACGAAAAAAGGAAAAAAGGACAAGTATACAAAAACATTTAAAACGTGGTCCACAAGATTGGAGAGTGATTTTGAGGATGAGAAGGTGTTTTAAAAAATAGGAGGGAATGGGAACTGGCAGGTTGCAATGGTATTAGCAAAATGATGCAGCTTATACATGATGACTATGTCGGATATTTAGAACTGATGTATTGAAAATTACAAGTAACAAAATCATCTAAAGGTAATAATTATCACTATTTATGTAAAGAGAATGTATTATTTTGTAATTTATATGAGTCTTTCTAATATTTTCCATTCATACACAAATTCATTTTTAAGCATCTCTACTTTACTACAAGTTTTGACTTTATAGTGATCAAGGATGGAAAATATAATGAATTAATATTTATAGTGACTTGTGGAAGTTGTGTACTTACATTGTTTTATAAAAATGCAAAATAAGATGATTGTTAACTTTATTTTATGCCAAAAGGATGTAATTGTTAAACCAAGTAATCAATTTGAATGTTGTTATCATTTATCTTACCAAAAGAACAAATATGTTTATGAAAATCCTCCCTTAACATATCTCGTCATTAAAATCTGTTGAGAATTTTCTTGCTTTTGACCCCCTCCTCCCCCCCACAACTCCACCCCTCCGTTTTTCTCTCTGATGAAAAATTTTGGACTGGCCATGGAAGAACAGGACGAGTAAAATTACTGCTCCTAGTTATCAAAATTTTCTTAACATTTCTTGATTTCTTGGACTATTCTATTGTATCTTAGAAAATCAGTATTGGCGTTATCTTTCTTAATAAATTTGTCATTAGAAATTACTGTATTCGTTAAGTCACCAATATTACATAATTTGCCTTTTTGGAAGAAAAAAAACTTTCTTATTTCCAATACCTGTGTACGTATTATTGTGACACATAGGTGTTTGCTAGAAAATTCTTGAACATTCCAATACTTGAGTATAATCATAAATTACAAATATTAATAACCAGAAAGCCAGAGAGAAAGTTTTAGAATTTATTGAGAATTATTCTGTAGTTGATATCTTTAGAGAATTAAATCAAGAAAGTAAAAGATATACATGGCGAAAGAAAAACCCTTTAAAACAGGCAAGGTTAGATTTCTTTCTTGCCTCACAAAATTTATTGTCTAGTATCCAAAAATCAGCCATCGAATCTGGATATAGATCTGACCACTCATTTCCTATAATTGTTTTAAAATTTAATGAATTTAGAAGGGGGAAAGGGCTTTGGAAATTTAATTCATCTCTCTTATATGATCAAGAATATCTTAATATGGTAAAACAACTTATTCTGGATGTAAAAGTACAATATTGCCTGCCAGTTTACAACATTAACAACATAAGTAATATTCCAGATGCAGATTTAACTTTTATGATCGATGATCAACTTTTTCTGGAAACACTTCTAATGGAAATTAGGGGCAAAAGCATTTCTTACTCTTCTTATAAAAAGAAACAACAAAATAAGCACGAATTTAATTTGAAAAAAGTGATACAAGAATTAGAAGAACAAGAAGGTGTAGATTTAGAATAATTAGATAGCAAGAAAAAGGAACTAGAAAGCTTGAGACTTAAAAAAGTAAATGGAAGTATTATAAGGTCTAGGGCCAGATGGCAAGAAGAAGGGGAAAAGCCAACTAGTTATTTTTTGAGTTTAGAAAACAGAAATTTTACCTCCAAGATCATCCCTAAGATACAGAAATCAAACATTACTATTACCGATCAGGATGAAATATTAGAAGAAGTACGCTCTTTTTATGAAAAATTATATTATGACAGTCATGATACCGAAGACATAGACTTGCATGATTTTACAAACTCATTTGTGGTTCCAAAATTAGATGATATTCAATCTGAAAGTTTAGAAGGGTTACTTACTTTGGGAGAAGCAGCAATAACATTAAAAAATATGAAAAATAATAAAAGTCCTGGTTCCGATGGTTTTACTGTAGAATTTTTTAAGTGTTTTTGGAAACAATTGGGTGTTTTTATTGTTCGGTCCATAAATTGTGGGTATGATAAAGGTTCACTATCTGTAACTCAGAGACAAGGAATTATTACATGCATTCCCAAGGGAGATAAGCCTAGACAATACTTAAAAAATTGGCGACCCATATCATTGTTAAATATTGTATATAAAATTGCTTCAGGATCTATAGCAGGTAGAATAAAAAATATTTTAAATACATTAATCAGTGATGATCAAACAGGATTTATTGCGGGTAGATATATTGGGGAAAATACTAGATTAGTTTATGATATCAAGCAATTTACTGAGGAAAATAATATTCCAGGTATGTTATTAATGATTGACTTTGAGAAGGCTTTTGATTCAGTGTCATGGGAATTTATATCTAAAGTCTTAACATTTTTCAATTTTGGTTCTAGTCTGAGAAACTGGGTGAAAGTTTTACACACAGATGTTTATTCAACTATCAATCAAGGAGGTAATTTGTCCTCTTTTCTAAGTATTAAAAGAGGTTGTCGCCAAGGCGACCCAATCGCCCCATATATTTTTATTTTGTGTGTGGAAATACTTTCCATAAGGATAAGAAACAATAAGATGATTCAGGGTATAGAGATAAATAATAGTCCAATCCTAATTTCTCAATATGCAGATGATACGTCTCTCATATTAGATGGTACTGAAAGATCTTTGAAAGAATCCATTGAAGAATTAAATACATTTGCGAGAATTTCTGGTTTAAAATTGAATATAGATAAAACACAGGTGATCTGGATAGGAAGTAAAATTTATAGTGAAGATATGTTTTTACCCGAATTAAATTTACAGTGGGGAAAGAATAAGTTTACCCTCCTTGGAATAGAATTTAGTGTTAACCTGCATGAGATCCCCAAATTGAACTTTGATAAGAAAATAATCAAATTAAAATCACTAATTAAAACATGGAGTAGAAGAGTACTTACTCCAATAGGGAGAATTCAGCTAATTAAATCTCTGTTGTTACCTCAATTTACTCATTTATTTATCTCTTTACCAAATCCAGACAATCAATTTTTGATTAGGTTAAATAAAATGCTTTTTCAATTCTTGTGGAATGGGAGTTCTGATAAAGTTAAGAGGGATATCATAACCCAAGAATATTACAGAGGGGGTCTCAAAATGGTAAATATAAG